TTTCATACTGCCGTACTCTAACGGAACTATCCACCTACCCTCTTCTAAAGATCATTCTCTAGCTAATAAATCATCACACTAAAGCTTCATGTTAGCATTTCCAACCAACTCTGAAAATCGTTAACTTCGCGTATGAAGTAACATAAAAACACTTTGAATATAAAAAAAATCAAAATACACCTTTTAAAGTCAGGTAGATGAATCGGAAATACTCAAGTTGACAGTCCCTTCAATTCTCTTGATCAACTTTCTCTTTGAAATAAATATTACAAATTTGATACGCTTATAAATAAAAAAAACTGAAAGAGTTAAGATAATTGATGATTGATCAATTAAAACCACCAAATGTTCACATTTGTTCCGTCCACTAGCAGCGGTCCTACGTCAAGCTTCCGTTCGTGCCCCTAGACACAAACCCTCCTACTTTTTGACGTATCTACACGGACAGAAAATTGTTTGCATTGAACCAAACAAAACTTTAGTTGTATTTAAACAAACAATTCCGGTTGAAATTATATTGCATTTTGTTGTTTCAATAATACTTATTCATATAAATTCAAAATAGGATTCTTTTTGTTTTAATAAGCCACTTTTCAACTGCAACTATTGTAAAAATAACTATATTCTATTATTAATCCAACAATAGTTCATTTTAATTTAGCATTTATTTGCTGTGTCCATTCCCCGGGCCATGAATGCAAAAATAACTACCAATCATTCCCTCGTTTTCACCCGGACAAAAATGTAAACAATAACAAAATTTCCGAAAATCTTGAGACTTGAGGTAAGTATACTTATAAGTATGCTGCAGTTCGAGCTGCAGTTGCTAAATATAATAAATTTTCTGTTTTTTTCCTTCATTTTTTTCCGTCGATCTTGTTTTCCGTACTGAGTACCAATGCTCCCGACGCCAGGAAGGCAGCTCCCACACCTGGTGGCACATTGCGCATCTCGAAACGAAAAACACTTTTTGCACGAACGCTTGTATGAAAAAGTTTTTCGTTTCGAGATGCGCAATGCGACCGCTGGACCCTACGTATCGACCCATCAACTAATGAACCGGGGACCAACGGCTTTACTTCCGTGATCAGTGAAAAAGAAAACAAAAAATAAAAAACAATTGGCCATATTATTTCCGGAGTGATTTAAGATTTGGGCGTAATTGCATTTGTAAACAAACACGTCAATCACCGATTCCTCACAAATAAAAGCTCAATCTCGAAAAGTAATTACACTATGAGGTAGAGAAATGATTCCTCTATCATTTGGTATAGTTTGTTTGTGAGATTGAGCTTTTATTCAAGAGAAATCAGCAATTGACGTGTTTGTTTACAAAAGCAATTACGCCCAAATCTCAAATCACTCCGGATTTTTGATTCAATAAACATATTTTTATTTCTACTGTGTGAATTGTCAGACTTCATAAAATAAATATGATTGAATCTACAAGAAATCTCTTTAAAAAACAAACATATTTTTGTTGTTGACCCAGCTGCCAAATTTGACAGCATACGTCAAAACCATGAAAGCTCTTGTAAATTCGAAAAGATTTTCTTTTTGATTTAACAATCCATGGGTTTTGAGGAACAACTATACTGGATTGTTGAAACAATAATGATTTCTTTTTGCAGCCAAAACAAAATGAAATTCTTATTGATTTTACGTCAAATATTATTACGTTTAAAATATTTTTTCTGCGTGTATTTAATACTTAATATTGAGTAAAACCGGTTTAACTCATTTCATGAGTTAAGCCTCCTTTCTTGAAAATGAGTAAATATTACTCATTAATGGGTTCTTTGGAGTAAGCGTGCACGGTATTTCAAAACTACCCAAATTTGGGCAGAATCCACCCAGATCTGTCAAAACTGAACCTATTCGTGTTGAAAATAAACGTGAATATTTTTGTTTGGTTTGACAACAATTTTGCACGCTCCTTCAATGTTACTCAAAAGTGAGTAAAAATCTACTCTCTTTCGGTAAAAGTGGAACTACTCTAAAGTGAGTAAACCTATTGGAAGATTGCCGTAAAAGCTCGACGCAGATGCCGCCACTGCATGATGATGATAATGTTGACAGACTGCATATAAAATTCGTGAAAATTAGCCTTAAATCATAATTTGCATCAAGCCTGCGTAAAATCCATACAATATAACATTCGAATTGAAGAAGAAAATGTTTTCACGATCAGACTGATGTGCATCTTTGACTATTCCAGATGAACTTTCATAAGATATATCCATTTCATTTCACAGCTCCATCAATGCTGCATCGCACATATGATGTAAACAGAAGTAAATTGCTCAATTACTCAAAATAAAGATGATTTGTCATCTCGTTATCACTTTATAAACCATCGAGTACCATTTTATAGTATGGTGCGTGTTGAGTAAGTCAAGTTCTGTTGCGTTTTCCGTCGAAAATTGTGAGTATCAATATGTTTACCTAAAAAATGCCAAAATGAACATTTATTGAATATTGGCGTCCTATACAACCATTTCTCCATTATCACCAGCATGATACAATCTTTCCTAAGTAAATTCACTTAATTTCCACTTTCATCCTAGTGGAAATCACACATATTCACCATTTTCTGAAAAATGCAGCTGCGCAGGAGGTAACCTCTACCTGTGGGTGCAAACTTGTTATGCATAATTTTCCATGAAAACATCTCCGATCCATACCGAAATAATAAAAGTTAGTTTGCAAACACGTTTTCTTACACGATTCAAGCAAAAGTTTCCACCGGAAATTATTAGTTTTTTTTTATGTACCGATTTGCCCCAAAATCGTCTGTTTTACTTGGAAAATTTGGAAACTATCCTCCTTCTAGTAGTTCTCACTTCGAAATGTAGGTGGCGAAAGCTTGGAAAAGTTTCACTGCAAGACGCCAATAGTTACTCACTTTTGAGTAATGCTAGCATTTGTCAAAATCAGAGTAACTTGTACTCAGTTCTGATTTGCGGTAAAAAAGCATATCTGAGTAAATGTTACTCAGTTCATATAAAATTGAGCGTTTTTCGAAATGAGTAGTTAATTCATTTTATATTGATAAAATATGAAAAATTAAAACAAACAATTTTATTAAAATATAGAAGAGGAGACGTACATTTATATTTAAAAAAAAACAATGTTTTCGGTGTTGTTGGCCACACTGGCCTGAGCACACCTACCGTTGGAACCTACTTGTGTCGGAACACCCCTGCAGTGGGTTCGGCAGCGAAGTGACAGCGGAGTGACATAGATATCGATCTTTCACACCGGGTGAGTAGCCACGCTCCTTCAATGTTACTCAAAAGTGAGTAAAAATCTACTCTCTTTCGGTAAAAGTGGAACTACTCTAAAGTGAGTAAACCTATAGTTACTCACTTTTGAGTAATGCTAGCATTTGTCAAAATCAGAGTAACTTGCACTCAGTTCTGATATGCGGTAAAACAGCATATCTGAGTAAATGTTACTCGGTTCATTTAAATTGACCGTTTTTCAAAATGAGTAATAAATTGTTTTGATATTAATAATATTTATATGAAAAATCAAAACGATAAAACAAATAATTTTATTAAAAGACAAAAGAATCCGCATTTCTATTATGTCCACGACGTCCGATGTATCATCCCATCACATTTTCTAGATAACCCTCTTGTTCCTGTTCCAATTCCGGAGGATGGTTCATAATGATGTGCCGCTTCAATGTTTTGAACCGGGTGTGTAAAGATCCACATTTGGAGTATTGGAACGGTAAATCAGCATTGCTGGTATTGAAATAATGATCATGTTGATTGTGGGATTTTAGTTCTGCTACATATCCTGGAACAAATCTTTGATACACGGGGAGATGGCAACCAAAACCTTCTAAAAGGATTTAATAATGTGCTTCAATTTTCAAGTGCTTCCTTTCCTTACCTTTTTAACTTAGAGAACGAATCCTAACCTGCAGCCACTTGATCCATTCCTTTCTCCTAAATTTACAAATATGAATGGGAAACCGGAAGTTCCATCACCGTCGAGATTCACTTTTGTCCAAGCTTTTGTCACAAGCATTTGACATAAGCACAGTGAGTAAAATTTGTGCAGGATTACTCAAAAGTGAGTAAACATGGTTTTTAAACAAACAGAGTAGTAGTTACTCACTTTGCTAAATCAATGTTACTCAGATTTTGACATTTTGTACAAAAATACCAAATTGAGTAGAAGTTACTCACTTTTGAGTAACATTGAGCGAGCGTGAGAGGAGAAAAACAACAGAGAACAAAGCAAAACAAGTGTAAAAGTAAATTCATCGTTCTCGTTATTCTTAAAATTATCTAGTAATCTAGTGAAATTAATTATAGTTCCTACTATGATTATCTAATATCTACACACTAAATTAGGTAATTATAGTCCCTACTATGATTATCTAATATCTACACACTAAATTAGGTAAGTTTAATACAATTAAACTTAGCTTAAATGTAATTAAAAACTATGCTTACGCACTAGGTAACCTAAACCTATCATTGAACACCATACACTCTACTCCGTGAAACCCGTAGCCACTGGTATCGGTAAGAAGTTAAAGCAAAAGTATGTATAAAATGTATATCGATGATCTTACTTACAATTACCTAAACTAGGGCTTACAACTAAACACTTCGACGGCATCACGCTAGACAACACCCGAAATTATACTAAAAGGAAACTAAACGTGTCACAAAATTATAATCTACACTTACAACTAGGACTAAAATTAGGTTGAGAACATAATGATAAACAATGTCATGTACACTCTACCTACATTCCAACCTTAAGCAATATCAAGGCCACATAAATCTATATATAGACTAACTAATTCCAATTGAAATTGTCGTTATCTAACACAGGAAATTATATTCTCGCTATCACCGGATTATACGTCTTTTATTCGCTTCCGGTCGAGAATCATAGTATCGGAAACTTCCCATTGAAACTGAATTTCAACATCATATAATTTCGTTTATTGAAACGGTACGGTCAGTCAAGTTATGTCGCGAAGTGGCAGTAAATCCGATGCAACGGATGCCTTTCGAAGTGGATCTAATGAAAGTGGAGTGATGAAAGGAGTAAATGCTACTGGTGGTGATGGTGGTGGTAATCCGGATGTGGTGACATTGAAGGAAACTGTGGAAGGACATACCTGCAGAACGTGTCAAGGTTCTGATACCGACGAAATGGTCCAGTGCGACGTATGTGATGGATGGCACCACTTTTCATGTGTAGGCGTATCGGAGGAAGTTGCCGACAAGAGCTGGAGTTGTACAAACTGCGTGACTGCGAAATGGATCCAGCGAACTAAGGCAGCTTACGATGGAGCACCTATAAGGGATGACGTCATTCAACATCGGAGATCGCTGCAAGATCTAAGCATCGGGAAGATCGTGACAAGTGCCCGTGGCAATCCAGTGATTCCTTCAGTTTCAGCATCACAAAAGTCAGCTAAGTCGTTGACAGTTCCGTCAACCAGTCAGCAGCCAGCGCCTTTAGACTCAGTGTTTTGTCAACCAAAGCAGAAGTCATCGTTGCCTGGCGTAGATGTGCCAGTAATCGTTGCAGAGGAGGCGTTTTCCGAGATTTCCATATCCTCTTCACAAAAATCTGCGAGAAACCGCGCCAAGCTTCAGCTGATGAGATTGCAGGAAGAACGAGCATTTCAGCAGCAGCAAGAAGAGCGCCGAAGACTCGCTGAGGAAAAGGCAGCCCAGGAGTATAAGGAATATCTGGACAACAAGTATAAAATTCTGGAGGACCTGCACAGCAAAAAAAGTTGTTGAATATTACATCGAAACTGCTGCAACCAGGTCAATCCATCGGTTGTGTAATATCACATTGTACGATGTACATCGATTTTGCGAACAAAATTACATCCATTGATGTAATATTGTATCTGCGTTTTGCTATTACATCATTATTTCATACATCAGCTTGAATTACGTTGATCGATATTACATTTTTTTTTGCTGTGTGGCGAGCGAAAAAGGATCGAGTCGGAGCTCTAACTCCTCTCGTCGTCGGGTTGAAGAATGGATGCAAACAACTAACCCTGCACCCTTAGAGATAGCCAAACCCGTCACTCAGGAACAAGCCCGTGAACATAACGGCTAGCAAGAACAGCTACGTCAAGAGCAGCTTCAGGAGAAACAACAGCACCAGGAAATAGCCTTTCAAGAGCAACAACGGCAACAACGGTCGCACGCAGAACAGCTACGAAAGCAGCAACAGAAGCAGTTGGAGAGAGAGCAAAAATTTCGGCAGTTTCAACAGCATCAGCGGCAGGAGCAAATACGCCAGGAGAATCTTTTGCGACAGCAACAGGAAGAGTTAAAGAAGGAAGCGGATGCCATCAATCGAAGGTGGGAACAGCAGTTGGAAAAGGAGAAAATTCTACGCCATCAACAACAACAGCTAGCGAATGGTCAAAGGGTCATGCGACGACCGGGAAATATAATTCTGTCCAACCAGATGCCAGATCAACAACTCAACCCCCCACCGGAGAATATGGAAGAAGGGTTCTGCAGAGAGTCGATACGTAGGCATCCTGGTCAATTCCTACCAGATGCCCTACCACAGTCGATGCAGCTTCATCCGATAGAATTGGATTACCCGCATAGGTCAGCTGCGAATCCTATCGATAGACAGAGTAGGAGGCATTCAATAAACTCTTCTATTGTGGATGATGATGACCAGTTCCAGCTTTCCCGCTCTCAAGTTGCAGCACGACAAGCAGTCTCCAAAGATTTACCTACGTTTTCGGGCGATCCCGAGGAGTGGCCAGTTTTCATATCCATGTACAATCGAACGACTACGATGTGCGGATTTACGGAGGATGAAAACATAGTTCGACTACAGAAAAGCCTGAAAGGAAGAGCTTATGATGCTGTCAAAAGTCGGCTGATGCATTCCGGAAACGTACCTGGCATTTTATCAACATTGAAGATGCTGTTTGGTCAGCCCGAAGTAATCATACAATCGCTGATTCGTAAGGTGGGCTCTTTATCGCCAATCCGGGAAGACAAGCTGGAAACGCTAGTGGAATTTGCGGTGAACGTTCAAAACTTCTGTGCCACTGTAGACGCGTGTGGACTGCAGGAGTACATGTATAATGTCACTTTACTACACCAGTTTGTCGGAAAGCTACCACCGTCGCTTAAACTCAACTGGGCACAGCATCGTCGAACACTGTCAACGGTCAACCTGGCGACCTTCAGTGAGTGGATTTATGGCTTGGCGGAAGCAGCGAGTGTTGTTGTATTCCCCTTGGCAGTTCAAGACGAGAAGCCAACTCGAAATGCACACGGGAATAAGAAAGGAAACACGTACCTTAACGCCCATTCTGAAACCTTTCATCCTAAAAAGAATTACAGCAGCGACGTCGAAGAACCACCTACGGCAGAATCAACATCGTACCAGGAAGCCTGCCCAATCTGCAGGAGAAGTTGCAAGTCGGCTGATAAGTGCAATCGTTTTCTGGAGCTCTCTAGAGAATCGCGTTGGGCCGCCGTAAGGGAATTTGGCTACTGCCGTACATGTCTGCGCATCCATAAAGGATACTGCAAAGCGAAACCGTGTGGCAAAGACGGATGCACCTACCGGCACCACGAGCTGCTGCACAACGATTCGAAGGACAAGCCGAAAAGCACCGGAACTACGGCCAGGCGTGAGCAATCTCCGCAACCCAGCACTAGCAAGTCTGGATGCAACACCCATCAGACAACCGTCAGCTCAGTATTGTTCCGTTATCTCCCAGTAGTGTTGTACGGAAACGAGAGAGCAATACGCACGTATGCATTCTTAGATGAAGGTTCTGCATTAACGCTGCTCGATCAGGAGCTTGCTAACGAGCTTCAGCTTGATGGCACTGTAAGCCCTCTGTGTCTCCGGTGGACTGGAGGAACTGAACGACACGAGGCGGATTCTCGCATCTACAATCTTCACATTGGTGGTGTTAAGAACAAAAGCAAGAAATTCCTCTTGAGTGACGTGAGGACGGTGAAAGAGCTACTGTTGCCCCAGCAAACGATGGACATGGCTGAGTTGTCACAGTTGTATCCACACCTCCAAGATCTGCCGATCGAATCTTATCGCGACGCTCGTCCACGCATTCTTATAGGGATGAAGCACGCCCAGCTCAGTCTTGGCCTGAAAAATCATGAAGGGGGAATCGGTCAACCAATCGCTATAAAGACACGCCTCGGATGGACGGTATGCGGAGGATGGGGTTCCGGGAATGACGCCAACCTACACCATTACACCTTCCACGTTTGCCCCTGTAGTGTGAAGTCAGACGAGGACTTGCACCAGGCTATGAAGGACTACTTTTCATTAGACAGTCTCGGGGTGGCTAAATCGGAGAAGGTGCTTTTATCCGTTGAAGATGAACGAGCATTTTCATTGCTTCAGTCGCTGACCCGTCGTAAAGATAATCGATACGAGTCCGGATTGCTGTGGCGATACGATGACACCCGGATGCCAGACAGTCGATCAATGGCGCTGCGTCGATTGCAGTGCCTAAAGAAACGGATGGAGAAAGACCCGGAAATGTCAAAGATCCTGCAATCAAAGATAACCGAGTATGTGGAGAAGGAGTACATCCGGAAGCTTACAGACGAAGAAATCAACCAGAAGATTCCACGACGCTGGTATTTGCCAATTTTTCCCGTAACCAACCCAAACAAACCTGGGAAGGTGCGAATTGTGTGGGACGCAGCAGCTATCGCTCACGGCATATCCTTGAACTCAGCGCTGGTAAAAGGACCGGATCTGTTGAGCTCACTTCTCGCTATTCTACTTCAGTTTCGGGAACGCCGCATCGGACTGACTGGTGATATCCGTGAAATGTTCCACCAGGTACTGATCCGAGCCGAAGACCAGTTATGTCAGTGTTTCTTCTGGATAGACGACCATGGAGCCATAGTAGTGTACGTGATGCAGGTTATGACATTCGGGGCTTGCTGCTCCCCAAGCACTGCACAGTTCGTGAAAAATACCAATGCGGAAAGATTCGCGAACAAATATCCAGCTGCATGCGAAGCTATCATGAAGTCTCATTACGTAGATGACATGCTCGTCAGTGTGGATACAGAAGAGCAAGCGATCCAGTTGGCGAAAGACGTTAAGCATGTACACGAGCAGGGTGGCTTTGAGATCCGAAATTGGGTATGTAACTCGAAAAAAGTACTTTCATCGCTACAGGAGGCAAACACCGACGAAAAATGTCTCGACTTATCTTCAGAGCTGGCCACTGAGAAGGTGTTAGGCATGTGGTGGAACACGAGCGACGACGTCTTTACCTACAAAGTCGGATGGAGCCGCTACGACCCAGCTCTGCTAGAAGGCCAATGACGTCCGACGAAGCGGGAAGTGCTGCGTGTTCTAATGACCATTTTCGATCTGCTCGGCTTGATTTCCCACTTTCTATCGTTCCTGAAGATCCTACTCCAGCAAATCTGGCGGTCCGGTGTGCAATGGGACGAAGAAATCGACGACAATGCAAACGAAAAATGGAACACATGGCTGCAAGTTCTGCCTAGAGTTGAACAGGTTCAAATCCCTCGATGCTATAACTCCAAATACCCCGCGGAAGAAGCCGACGATATCCAACTCCACACGATGGTGGATGCCAACGAAAATGGCGTGGCCGCCGTTTGCTATCTGCGTTTCATCAAGACCGGAACGATCATCTGCTCCATCGTCGCCGCAAAAACAAGAGTCGCACCGCTTAAGTTTACGTCGATCCCAAGGATGGAACTAGCAGCTGCAGTCCTTGGCGCCCGTTTGGCTCGTGCTGTCGAAGGATCGCTGTCCATCCAGATCTGCAGGAAGGTGTACTGGTCAGATTCCCGAGACGTCCTATGCTGGATCAACTCGGACCATCGCCGCTATAGTCAATACGTTGGTCACAGGATCAGTGATATTGTAGAGATTTCAGAAGCACGTGAATGGCGGTGGGTCCCAAGCAAGCTAAACTGCGCTGACGACGCTACCGAGTGGAGTAGCCTACCAGATATGTCATCAGATCATAGATGGTTCAAAGGAGCAGACTTTCTCTGGCACGCTGAAGAAGATTGGCCACCATCACCAACACTTAGTGGATCTACGGAGAACGAACTTCGCTTTTCCTTTCTGGCTCATCACGTACCATCAGAACCCGTCATCAATGTCAGCAACTACTCAAGCTGGAAGAGGCTCGTCAAAGTTGCAGCACTAGTTCATCGTTTTATGAACAACTGTCGCCTAAAACACACCGGGAGACCAATTCGTACGGGACCACTAACAGCAAACGACCTGCTGATCGCCGAGTGTTCGCTGATACGGCTCGCTCAACGGGAAACGTACCCCGATGAAGTTGCAGCTCTTCAGAAAGCTAGATGTTCTGATTCTTACACAAGTAGTGTCCCAAAAACCAGCTCACTTTACCAGTTAACGCCATGGTTGGACGAACGTGGAATTCTGCGTATGCGAACGCGCATTGCTGCTTGTCATTACGCCACCGATGATGCGAAGAAGCCAATCATTCTCCATCGAAACCACCATACTACCACCCTGATCGTAGCATACTACCACCACAAATACCACCACCAAAACCACGAAACCGTTATCAACGAAATACGGCAGAAGTTTCGCATCCCTCATCTACGCACCTGTTACGAGCGCGTACGAAAGGATTGCCAGTGGTGTAAGAACCAGTACGCAGCACCCAGCCCACCGTACATGGCCGATCTTCCGCTAGCCCGCCTCGCTGCTTTCTCGCGGCCATTCACACATGTGGGAGTTGACTACTTTGGGCCGATTAAGGTTGTCGTCGGAAGGAGAGTCGAGAAGCGGTGGGGAATGTTAGCCACCTGCCTGACCGTACGAGCAATCCACATAGAAGTTGTACATTCACTTTGCACAAGCTCCTGCATTATGGCAATCCGCAACTTCATTGCACGGCGTGGAACTCCCCAGAAGATTTACAGCGACCGCGGCACGAACTTCGTCGGTGCAAATCGGGAACTCCAGCAAGCCAACGAAGCAGTCAATCAACACGAACTGATGAAAGAATTCACGAGCTCTGGAATCGAATGGGTGTTCAACCCACCTCTGTCGCCACACATGGGCGGTAGCTGGGAGCGACTGATTCGCACCGTCAAGAAAAACTTGATGGTTGTTTGTTCGTCGAAGAGGCCATCCGACGAAGTACTCCGCAATCTGCTAACCGAAGTGGAGAACACCGTCAACTCGCGTCCGTTAACTCACGTGCCAATAGATGAGGATTCGGCCCCAGCGTTGACCGCGAATCACTTCGTACTCGGTTCGTCCAACGGTTCGAAACCGATCACGAGCCTCGATGATAGCCGAGCGGCTGTAAAGCAGAATTGGTGTACCTCACAGATTTTAGCAAACCAATATTGGAAGCGTTGGGTGTCGGACTACCTTCCAGAAATCACTCGCCGCACCAAATGGTTTCGTTATACAAAACCGATCGCCGTGGGCGATATTGTAGTTATCGCCGATTCCAACATGCCCCGCAACTGTTGGCCGAAGGGGAAAGTTATCAGCACCAAAGTCAGCCAAGATGACCAGGTTCGGTCCGCAACCGTGAGGACAGCGAGCGGTGTCTACGACCGTCCGGCAACGAAGCTGGCTGTATTAGACGTCCGGTGCGACGGAGAGTAAGCCAACCAGGGGTTGTCGTACCCTGGGGGAGTGTTGACCACACTGGCCTGAGCACACCTACCCTTGGAACCTACTTCTGTCGGAACACCCCTGCAGTGGGTTCGGCAGCGAAGTGACAGCGGAGTGACAGATATCGATCTGTCACACCGGGTGAGTAGAGGAGAAAAACAACAGAGAACAAAGCAAAACAAGTGTAAAAGTAAATTCATCGTTCTCGTTATTCTTAAAATTATCTAGTAATCTAGTGAACTTAATTATAGTTGAACTTAAAGCTAATGTGATTAGTCACTACTAGGTTTATCTTATATCTACACACTAAATTCGGTAAGTTTAATACAATTAAACTTAGCTTAAATGTAACTAAAAACTATGCTTACGCACTAGGTAACCTAAACCTATCATTGAACACCATACACTCTACTCCGTGAAACCCGTAGCCACTGGTATCGGTAAGAAGTTAAAGCAAAAGTATGAGACCATTCAATAATTACGTAAGCATTTAGGGGGGGAAGGGGGGTTTTCAAATTTCTTACGATCTCTTATGATGGGGGGAGGGGGGGTTCATACAAATCTTACGTAAGAAAAAGATTGTTAGTGCAGCTTTCCAAATAACAATTCTAGTATTTCCTAGAATTGCGTTTAATGTTCAATTTGCTGGTCCGTACTTCTGACAGTAATCACCATAACCCGAGCAGGAGAAAATAACTAATGAATACCTAATTCTGATCTGGTATCAAAATTTGGTATTGACCAGCATGACATAAGAGGAAAAATACCAAAGAATAATACCAACAATGGTGGGGTTGTGTACAAGACACGACCGCAGGGTTGACGTAGACTACGTTAAGCTGTGTAGTGAAATTCTCGTGCATTTTTTCTAGATATTGATTTAAAATACAGTAGAAGTAACCTATGATTTCGGTCCTATGTACATATTTTGGATTTCTTCTTAGTAAAACTTGGTTAAATTCAGGACCTCATAAAAATGCGAATACATATTCATACATAAATAGAGGTACCGTCTGATAATTTATCACATTTATCCTTTTTATCACCACAGAAACACTCCGTCCCCGTGTTCTCATGCAAAATAATGAATGTGCGTTCACAAAACGCACGAAATCTTAAAAAACCATATTAAGATATAATGAGATATAATCGTCTTTTCAAGTCTCTTGGAGGCGAACCAGCCCAAGGCTGAAAGCCTCCCTAATAAAGATAAATTAATTAATTAATTCTTTTCAAGTCGGGTCGGGGATAAGATATAATCTCATTATACAAGTATTCCACTAAGACGCCCACATTCATCAGGATTCATATTAAGATTTTTTTAATTCCATCAATAGATTAAAGATGTACCGAGAATTAAATGGAAGGATTTCAAGCTTAAATGTTCTGATCGCGAAATATTGACTACCAATACCGAAATTTCACATGAAGGTCCAACCTAAAGAGCCTGAATTTATAAAGAGGCAACTAATTTTACTTCCAAGGCTGTGTCGCAATGCACGGTAACCAGCGTAAACACATTAATGAGTAAAAAAATACACATTTTTTATGTTTATATGTAGCTGTCAAAAAATGTGTAAATTAGAAGATCTTAAAATGTGTGAAAAAATACCCATTTTAAGAATGTGGTACCAGCCAAAAAATGTGTATTTTTATACTCATTAATGGGTAAAAAAAAAACTTCAAACCTTGCTGCATCCTGCTTAGTTGACGCCAAGGTAGACGCACGCCATTTTTATAGCTGAGCGTAAAATTCTCAGTGAAGCAGAAAAATGGAGGAACTACGGTCCAAACTGGACAGTGGAACAATGGACAAGCTAGAGGGTAAGTAATTTATATTATTTGTATAGCTAAGTTTTAGAAAAAAAAAACATTAAAAAAATTCATAATCAAGGTTTTCATTGTCCGGTGTCTGGCTGCGATGAATTCAGCGACAACCTGATCGAGGTTAAAAATCATGTGAAAAGACTTCATAAGTTAAATATTAAAAAGAAAAATACGGTTCCTTTTATTTGTAAGATCTGTGGTTCAATAATGGCAACTTTTCGGAATTTCGAGCGCCATAGCAGCCAGAAACACAATCTGGGACTAAGTGGGGAGCAGAGGGATGCTACGATGTCTGAATCTGTTCATATGGATGTCGATTCCGAGGTCGATTCATCATATAGTGCTGAAAAGGATGTCACTAATCCCTTTTTCTATCTGCCTCCTTTATCCAAAGAACATATTCTCGGTTAAGCATCGCAATCTGTAACAAGATTCTTATGCGATGTGGCATTACCAGAAACAAAGATACAGAGTTTTATCCAGCAATGCACACAAACACTAGACGACTACCAGCAGTATGCTATAAACGTCATAAAGGAATTCTTCAATGAAATGAACATGAAGTTGGATGAAAATGCCGTGAACATGATAAATAGCTTGGAAATATCTCATCCGTTCGAAGATGTCAAGACTGCGGATGACAACCTAACGTATCTTTGTGGGGTTGCCAAGCAGAGTATTCCAGAGACCAAGGAATATGTACTAGGCCTTCGCAGAGTCCACAAAGTTAAGCGATATCAGGTTTCATGCGGTAAAAATAAAAGAATTATCAAATTAGTTAAGCGATCGAGACAGATAAAAGATGCAATGCATTATATTCCCGTTAAAGATATTCTTAGTCTCGTGAT